AAAAAACACAGGCAATAACAAGTGTTGACAGGGATGTGAGGAAATGGAAACCCTCATACGTGGCAACTTCACTCTCACATGTGACAATGTGAAATGGTGCAGCCGCTCCACACTGTAGAAAACAGTGTGGTGATTCCTCAAAAAAGTAAACATGGAATTACCACACGATCCAGCAATTCCACTCCTGCTCCATTCCTCACCCACAAGAATTGAAAGTGTGGGCTCAGACAGACATCTGCATGCTAATATTCATAGCAACATTGTTCACAGTAGCCAACAGGTGGAGGCAGTCCCAGTGTCCAGCAACAGACAAATAGATAAACATCGTGTGGCCCATCTACTCAATGAAATACTTATTTTTTGGCCTTAAAAAGGAAGGAAATTCAGGCACATGCTACAACATGGATGAACCTTGAAGACTTTATGCTGCGTGAGATAAGGCCACCTATTTTACTATCCTATTGGCATGAAATATCCTGAGAGACAAATCCACAGGAACAGGCAGTGAGCCCGTGGTTGCCAGGGGCCAGGCAGAGGGGGAATGGGAGTGCCTGCCCATGGCAGGGGGTTTCTTTTGGGGGTGATGAAAATGTTCTAGAATCTGATAGGAGTGATGATGGCTTAACCTTGGAGGGTACGAAAATCCACTGAAGTTTATCACTTGTTATATGGATTATATCTTAATAAGAAAGATAATTCACGCTTATCCTAGCACATTCAGAAACAAATCTTTAAAAAAGAAGAAAAGCTCCGCCACACTCTCACCTGGAGGATGTCACGGGTGGGGGGCCCCCAGCAATGACGATGGGAGCGGGAGGAGTGCCTGTGGCCCGTGTCCGGTGGCTGCTGGCCCCAGCGAGGGCTCCCATAAGAGTGTGGGCGAGAAGTAGGCTCCGGGAGTGGCCACCGTCCCACCGAACACTGAAAATGTGTCCGACTGACTCATCGTGAACTCGCACACATTCCCCCTGTCCACAAACGGCACCCCAGCGGGGAGCGCGGAGTGTCCACAACAGGGAGAAATGGGAACACACGCGAGTGTCCAATGACAGGGTCTCCACTGTTGGGCGACAGGGAGAGGATGTCACGTGGAAAGATGTTAAAGATACATCAAGTGGAAAAAAAGAGTTGATTTTGTAAAAAACAACAAAACAGTTATTCATAACCTCTATCATTTTTAAAAATACTCATCCGAGGACATGTTTTTTATTGAGTTTTTTTGAGAGAGAGAGAGAGAGAGAAACGTTGATGAGAGAAAAACATAGATCAATCGCCTCCTGTGCATGCCCCGACTGGGAATCAAACCCACAACCCACTGGTGTACGGGCAGCACTTCAGCCATCAGAGCCACTGGCCAGGGTCCCCACCTTTGTAGACAAATGGAAATGGAGGTGTTAAATCTTACTGATGGTTCTCTGCTCATGGAGTTAGTTTGATTTTCTCTGTTTTGTGTTTTCCATCTAGAATATTTTTCTATGATGAACATGTATTACTTGCATAATTAAAAGAATAAAGATAAATGTTAATTTAAATGAAATGTTACAGAGAAAATCCTGCCAGTTTTCTGGTTATTTGTGGGAGAATCTAGCGGATCCAGGGTTGGCAGAAGGCGATGTCAGTGGGTCCACTAATAATTCAAAAGCTTTTCTACGTTCAGCAGCAGGGCAGAGCTGGGAGCTCAGAGGATGAGGGCAAGAACGCAGTTCTCAGTACTTAGTACCCGATGAGGTTGGTCGTTCCGTCCTGCCAAGGTGCGGAAGGTACAGCTTTAACTCGCCAGGAGAAAGACGTCATATCTACTTTTATGTGTTCATTCCTTCATTCACTCCCCCGTTGGGTGAGCCCCTGCTGCGTGTTAGGCACAGAGCTGTGTTCTGGAGTCCACGTGCACGTAACACAGTCCTCGCCCTCAGCAAGCGAGAAGTCGACAAAGCTCCCTGCCCTCTTCTGACACTGCCTGCCTAGTACACAGTTAGCACTCATTGCTAAGTGCTCCATATACACTCTCCCATTTGCTCCTCTCCATACCCTATGAGGTACTAACGGGCGTTGTGGCTCCTCTTACTAGACGATGAAACTGAGTCCTTGCCTAAGTGTCTCAGTTTGGAAGTGGTGGAGCGTCCCCCGCAGGACAAAAGCCCCCACAGTGCCTGTAACAGCCTCAAGCAGCACAAGTTGGCAGATCTGTGCTCATCTCTAGGACATTCAGTGAGCTCCAACTTTGGCCAGCACCGCGCTGGGCCCTGGGGACACAGTGGTGACTAAAGCAGGGCCAGCCCTCAAGAAATACACAGAACCAAGGAGGGGAGTATAGATGGGTGTCATCCGCATTCCACAAAAGAGAAACCTGAAGCTCTGAGAGGGTGGGAGGCACTTCTGAGTTTTATAAGCGGCAAAGCACGGGAAAGGCACAGGACAGTGCGTGACCATAGTAAAACTCAGTGCCCTTAGCTGCTGTTATTGTTTCTGAGATTGCAGTTATTCTGCAGCCAGGCTGGGGGCTCAGGCCTGGGTATCCTGGCCCTGGCCCAGTTCCTTTGAGAGAAGGAACTCTGAGCAGAGAAGACATCACCGTGTAGAGGGGATCCAGGTGGTATGGTGTGAGGGTCACACAATTTGGGAGGAGCTCTTTGAGGAAAAGAAATATATGGCCACGTGAACAAAATGGTAGGGTCCCTTCTAAGTTCAAAAAAGGCCCATGCAAGTGAGGGACCTTAAGCTTTGTGGCAAATCCACCTCTGCGACCGCCTGTGGGTGCTGCACGAGTGGTGGGCTGGGCTGGCTGGCCACTGAGGTCTCTTCTAAGGCTAAGACCATGTGATTCTGCATCCTACAGCCTACGCAGGAGCACTGTCCTCGGCCCCAAGAGGGGCAGGAGGGGTCCTGCTCTGCCCCAGTGCTTTAGAGGGCTCAGCATGTCACATACACACACAAAATAAATGTATTAGGAGTACCTACCTCTTACACTGAGGACAGAGCATGGCCTGGAACCTGAGCATCCACTGTAGGGAGTAGCGCTGTTCAGACCTTCGGGAAATTCTTCTCCACCTCACTCACTCCGTGTTCTTGAAACAAGAAGCTGCTGAATCTCAGGGCTGGGAAGGTGTGGGCGTTGTGCACTGCGCGCGGGAGACCGGCACTACTGCTTCTGCAGAGGAGTGCGGGCAGGATTTGAGAGAGCAAGCCCTCACAAAAGACTAACGACCTCATCCAGTCCTTCCTCTCAGGCAGCAGGGAGGTAACAGACTCCCACCTAACAAAGTCTCGCTCCCCAGAAACGCCAAGTGTCCTGTTCTTGCTTGTCTTCGTGTTCCAGTTTGTCTCTAGATGCACTTAGGAATTAGCGCAGTGGTCACGAAGTCCCCTGTGGTAGCTGCGGAATGTTTTGTGAGGCTGATTCTTATAATGCTCATGTCTGTGTATATTTATAGGTGTAGACAGGACGTGTAGGAGACACGATGCCAGTTCTTCACACTCCTCCACAGCGTCGGTTCTCAGAGTGTAGTGTGAGGGCCCCCAAGGGTCTCTGAGACCTTCCAGAGGGTCTGTGAGGTCAAAACCACTTTCATCATAATACTCGGACACTAGCTGCCCTTTTCCCACCAATGTCCTCACGATGTGTGATGTCACCACTGTTCTGACAGCTAACAGAATGTGTGTTTGTGTGGTTTTTTAAAGTTATCAATTTTAAATTTTTAAAATTATTTTATTGTTGTTCAATTACAGTTGTCTGCATCTCCCCCCCCCCAGTCAAACCCACCTCCCTCCCTTGCTTCCACCCTCCCCCTTGGTTTTGTCCATGTGTCCTTTATAGCAGTTCCTGAAAACCCTTCCCTTCATTGCCCCCTCCCCTCCCCCAATTTTAATTTCTAATATGAGAAATATTGATAGCTATGATTTACATAAACAAAAGGTCTTTGGGATTTTCAGTGATTTTTAAGAGTGCAAGGAGTTCTGACATAAAAGTGTGTGAAAACTGCTGTTCTATCGATCACAGATTGCTTTAAGAAATTTTCACCATATGAAGGGTAGCAGTTTATATAATAAACTAACATTTTGTGGTTTTTTGTGACAGCGATCATATATCATATGCCACCTAATTATTTTGTTTGTACGTGATGCAGAAAATTTGTGGTTTAATTCTGAGTCCAAGTATTGCTTTGAGAATTAGACTGATAATTTCCAGCCTCTGTAAAGTTTCTCCAAATTAAAGTTAATAAAAAACAAAGAACTACAATGACTGAAGCAAGTTTATCTAATTGAGCATGATTGTCAACAGAACACAAATTATGTGACAATTTTTTTTAACTTTTTTTATTTTAATCATTGTTCAAGTACAGTTTTCTCCCTTTTACTCCCATTCCAGCCCACCCACCCAACCCTCCCCAGTTCCCTCCCATTACCACCCTCCCGCTAGTTTTTGTCCATGTGTCCTTTAAATTTGTTCCTGTAAACCCTTCCCATTCTCCCCTGAAATTCCCTCTTCTCTCCCCTCTGGTCACTGTCAGTCTGTCCTTTATTTCAGTGTCTTTGGTTATATTTTTCTTGTTTCTTTGTTTTGTTGTTTAGGTTCCTATTAAGGGGGGGATCATATGGTATTTGTCTTTCACTGCCTGGCTTGTTTCACTTAGCATAATGCTTTCCAGCTCCATCCATGCTGTTGCAAAGGATAGAAGCTCCTTCTTTCTTTCTGCTGCATAGAATTCCATTGTGTAAATGCACCATAGTTTTTTGACTGTTCATTTACTGATGGGCATCTAGGTTGCTTCCAATACTTAGCTATTGTAAATTGTGCCACTATGAACATTGGGGTGCAAAGGTTCTTTTGTATTTGTGTTTTAGGGTTCTTAGGATATAGTCCCAGCAGTGAAATTGCTGGGTCAAAAGGCAGATCCATTTTTAGTTTCCTGAGGAAGTTCCATACTGCTTTCCATAGTGGTTGTACCAGTCTGCAGTCCCACCAACAGTGCACTAGGGTCCCCTTTTCTCCACAACCTCTCAAAAATATGGAATGCTTCACGAATTTGCATGTCATCCTTGCGCAGGGGCCATGCTAATCTTCTCTGTATCGTTTCAATTTTTTTTTTGAAAGAAATTTTTTTTAAACATTGCTCTTGTTACTTTTTAAAATATTTTATTTATTTATTTTCAGAGAGGGAAGGGAGGGAGAAAGAGAGAGAGAGAGAAACATCAATGTGTGATTGCTGGGGGCCGTGGCCTGCAACCCAGGCACGTGACCTGACTGGGAATCGAACCTGCGACACTTTGGTTCGCAGCCTGCACTCAATCCACTGAGCTAAGCCAGCCAGGGCGTATCATTCCAATTTTAGTATATGTGCTGCCGAAGCGAGCACGACAATCTTTACTGTAATCATGAATCTGGTGGCTCTCTTACGACCAGAAACACATTTTATTGAATAAACGTGCAATCGTTCGGGAACTATGTATGTATTTACTGCTCCACCAGACGCGGCCAGCCCAGCAGCAGCACGCAGGCCGAGCGCTACAGCGATGGGGTTTAGTCCCGTGATGTTTTGTACCTTTCAGCTCTATAATAACTACAGCTTTACACGTTACATTTTTTTGTTGTTATGACAACGTATTACCCATGGAGGCTGATAGAACATATTTTATGTAACACTTTGACACGTTGTTACCTTGACCGATAACATTTTAATACTTAGACACTTGGTATGGGAACCTTGCCTGGGTCCCACAGAAGAGAAGGGCGGGGCCTCGTGCTTGGGACCGGGTCGTCATTTCTCACCGAAGTGGGCAACAGTTCCCGGGATGTTCAGGGCTCACATCTGACACGGTTTGCTCTGGCTGGTGGCTTTGCTATGGAGGGAAAGAGGAAGGTGCGGGTGGGATCCGCGTGTCAGCGTGAACCATGGGAGTGGCTCGAGCGGTGTGTGGAGCCGCGGTCCCTACACAGGGAAACCCTGGGAGCATGCCGTGTGGAAGGCAGACCCTTCACTTAGCGGAGACCAAGCGGGACCACTCCTCCCGCCCCCAGCACCTGATGGGGGCTGGAACGGTGAACATAAATCCTGGCTGAGAACGAAGGGCAAAGCGCCTCCCGTGGGCAGCATCGCCCTTGAGGAAGGCTGGGTGTTGGGCTATGACTAGCTCGAGGGAACTTCAGGCCCGACGTCCCCTGTGGCTTGGCAGTTTCTCAACACCGGTTGCCCATCAGCCCGGGAATCTGGGTTCGAAGGCCTTGCTCAGACCTCCTCTCTTCTTCTAGACACCTCTACAGAGGCTGCTCGTGAAAAGAACCAGGTGGGCAGAGGGTGCTGGGGTGGCAGCCAATGGAAATCCGGCTCAGTGTCCCGCAAGGCAGAGGAAGCCCCACCCCCTTCACCTAATCTGTATGGGCCTCCCTGTCTGTTCTCACTGGTTTGCCTCCCGGTACAGAAGGAAGGACGGGAACGTGGAGAAAGTGTGACCCTGTCCATTTCTGTTGTCCCCTCTGCCCAACCAGGGGTATGAGGACATATTCGTTGAGGGTTCCAAGGACCGAGATACCCATGCCCTCCTCCTCCTCCTCATCACTACCACCAGTTACCCCCAGTGAGCAGCCACACAGGGTGCCGCACAGGATTCAGAAGGGATGCCATTTCCTTTCCCATCCCCTGGGCCCAGGCACCTCAGGGCCAAGAGACTCCAGAAGACGTAGGAGCTGACTGCACCAGGCCAGGAGACCAAGGCGGAGGGTGGAGATTAAGACAGGGTCGGGGTGGGAGGCGGACTCATCAGTCTGGGCCTGACAGTCCTGGAGTGATGGGGTGTTTGGGTGTGGCCAGGGGCTGAGGCCACGCCTGGTCACTCATTCAGTTCTCATGGATACCTACCATCCACCAGACCTTGTTCCACGCAAAAGCTGTCCCTTTCCTCCCAGTGCTTACAATGTTTTCAGCCAATATATTCATTGAGCACCTACTGCATACCTGGCTCAGAGGCGGCCGCCAAGGTCTCAAAGATAAACACAGTTTTCCGGAGCTCACAATAGAGTGTGAGTGGCCTGTGTGCAGGGGTAGGTGCTGATGAACAGATTATTGGAGTAAGTCTCTTAACCTCTAGAGGACTTGAATTTTCTCATTTATAAAATAAGGGGGGTTGACTGTTTATTTTTACTTACATCCCACCTGCTTACAAAAGGTTTTGAGAGAGCTTCCAATCAAATACAGATTTACAATAATTTTGTTAAAATAGAATTAGAAAATTAAAAAGTAAGTGGGGTGCTAGCTGAGTAGCTCAGTTGGTTAGAGTGTCATCTCCACGTGCCTAAGTCAGGGCACACACAAGGAGCAGCCAGTGAGTGCATGGGTAGATGGAACAACAATCATTGTTTCTCAAAAGAAAGAGAAAAAAAAGGAAGTGGAAGGATAGAAACCAATGAAAGGGAGAGAGAAAAAGAGAGCTGAAATGAAATCAGACTGAAGGAGTCAGATGTCAACCACCCTTGTTATGTTGTTGCTGTAGTGGAACATTAAATATGGCTCTGAGCTTCCTGGCAGCCAAGGCAACAAGAAAAGCAGGGGGGTCATATAATTACCATTATCTGGAAAACTAAAACATATCAGGTCTTCAGAAGAGAGAAACTTTTTCCTGGTAGTAAATACTTTCACTGGAGTTTCCAGCCCTTTCTCTAACCTAAAGAGAATTTGCTGTGTGGGTCCTTCCTTATATAAGTAACATAGATTACCATAGTAGACAATACATTTACTGGTAGTTTTTTTCCAGGAAAAAAAATAATGCAGGGTTTTTCATGTGGCCATTTCTTCCACCAAGAAGAAATGGTGAACCAATGTCGAGTGTAACCCTGAAGTGAAACTGGCCTGAAGGCATTTCTGCATGGGGGCAGCTAAGCTAATGTGATTCAAGTGTACAGTGTTCTGGTGACATGAACTTATCCCAAAATAGAACTCAGAATGCGCAGAGGGTCAGTTTCAGGTAGGGTGTTTCCCCGCACATCACCAGTTCGGATACCAGCTTCATTGTTTGTCAAACAGAGAGGTAGGAAAGGATGTGTAGATTCCAGTTTTATTTTGTAGTTCTTTAATTGTGAGTGAAATCAAGCATCTTTCTAGATGTTTATTGGCTTTACTTTAAATAAATATGTCTGTATGCTAATTGGTTTACTTATACTTCTTTTTTCTGTAGGCTACTTGTTTATATTCTTTGACTATTTTTCAAACTGCTTCCTTGTCCTCAGCTATGACAATTACAGCACCTGTCTCATAGGGTTACTTACTGTGAGGTTTAAATGAAACAGGTAAAGAATGTATAGGAAATGGAGAAGCCAAAGAACTTATCTGTACAACCCATGGACATGAACTAAGGTGGGGGAATGCTGGTGGGAGGGAGGGTGCAGGGTGAAGGGGAATAAAGGGGAGAAAAAATGGGGCAACTATAATAGCATAATTAATAAAGTATACTTAAAATAAATGAAATAATCTAAGTACTTAAAATAAAGTCTAGCATATAGTAAATGATTGTAAAGTATTAGTTATTATGATGATCAAACTGTATTTAAGTTTGTTCATGTGAGTTTCCTTGTAAATTAAAGAAATACCCCTTTGTCATATGTTTTCTCCATTATTGGAGTAACATTATTACAGTAATTTTTCCATAGAAGTATTTTTTTAATTATGTAATCAAATACTTCAATATTTTCCTGTATGACTCCAGGGTTTTCCACCCTGATTATAAAGCCTTCCCACTCCAAAATTATAAATCAATTCACCTATTCTTTCTTACGGAACTTCTATGGTTTTACGTGACACTTAATCTTTGATCCACACTCACCCAGCCTCCACCCACCCACTACCCAGCCCCCAGGGCGGCCTTGGTGGTGGAGACCTCCATCCGGCAACAGCAGGGCCCCCACAGGGGGTTTCTGGTGCAGACAGTGGAACAAGCCAGCGTGAAGGGTATTCCAGGAAGAGGACATAGTATCACCTTCAGTTTTCTGTGGAAGCACTTTACTTTCCAATGGGCAAGATACTGCACCAGAAGTCCACTGCACATTTGAAGGAAAAATTGCAAAGAACCCACAAGAAGAAGATAATGCATTGTGTCAAAGACTCAAGTTCGTGAAGGAACCGCTAGAATCACAAAATATTCCACACGTTTTGGAAACGTATCTCAGCAAGGAAACCAGTTCAGCATTCAGCCTGAGTTGATGCAGTTACATAACATGGTACAATTCTGCTGCAAACATGGTATAAAATGGTAAAAATTCCAAGTGTCAAGCAAGTGCAAAGAGATGATGACTTCAGTGCGTTAGACCACACTCTACCACATGACTGTGCACCTCGGGAAATCATTCCTTGGCAAATACAAGTGCTGCAGCATTCACAGTGTGGTGCTACAGTGAAATGTGAGAGCCATCTGGCAATAACGAAGACCCCGACACTGGGCGAGGTGTCAGCATGCTTACTGATGGGTGCATGCCAGTGTTCTTGGGCATCTAGCTTAAGGAGCTAAACAAATCCCAAGGTGTCACTTTGTCTAAATGTGTTGATTGCAGTAGAGAGCTGCACAGCTTCAATAATAAAGAGTGTCATGATTCAAAAATGTCTCTAAAAAGTAATAGTACTACGTACAGCCCATGATAAAAGGCTTCAATTAAAAACAATCTTCAATCCAAAGAGAAGTAGTTTTGGCCCATCTCTGTTATCCCCCCAGCAATAATAATTCAGGCCCCCAGCACCATCTACTGAACATCCTCTTTTCCCTGTTGATTTCAGTGGAAATGCTCAAGCCTTTCCCTGGAGTTCCTAGCCCTTTCCCTAACCTACAGCTCTTTTTGGTCCCAGTATGTCAGGACAGATGCCAGCACTTTGCAAGAGAGGCATGGACGTGAGTATGGCGAGCCCTGAACCTGGAGAGGAGAGACCTGGGTTCTAAGCCTCCGTACCATCCCCCTGATGGGCAATCTTAATAAGTCGTTTTTTCTTTCTGGGCCCCCATTCCTCTCTGTGTAATGAAGAGATAAAACTAGATGGTCTCTGAAGTCCCTTCCAGCTTTAATACTGTTTGATTCCAGAGATTCCAGAGCAAGCTTGCACAAGAGCAAGTGAGCCGGAACTGGTGTT